TTTTAAGAGAGAGAGAGAGAGAGAATTGTAGGAGAGCCACCGGAACATGTTCATTATCGCTAGATCTAATCGTCTTTAAATTAAAAACAGTGTTCCTTATTGCAGCCATATTTTAAACTGTGTTACTGCGCATAAAGGAAGATGACGTCATCCATTCACAGAAACAGTTCAAAATATGGTTGCAAGAATTTCAATACGGAGCTCAATTTCGAAGAAGAAAATCCGTAAAAAAAATCTTAAATTCATCTAGTTAATCTGGTTAGTGGAACCAATGTGTATTAGCCTAGGACTAATTTTCTAGAATAAATGCATCGGATATGAATCCGCTAAAATGAATTAAAGTCCAAACAGTTTACAGAATAACAAACGAAAGAGACAGCCTGAACTAAAGAGACTAACTCTTTAGCATGCTCAGAGTCTTATCCGTAATACAAGAGTTTGCGATGTCAGTTCCGGCTGAAATGCAATAGCAAAGACATGCGATATCTAGACGTCTAGATCTAGACTTGACCTACACGTAAAAAAACAAACTTTCTACACGCACATATGGATGAATCGTCAAGGTGTAACAGGGCCATTAGTTGTGCAACGAGTCAATTCAGGAATGAAGAAACTCGGCTTTAATACCTTAATAGACTCTACTTACCCCCCCCCCCCCACCCTCCTGTTTTTCCTGCGCGCATACGGTACGGCCTACTGCGTATACAGTGCAAGTCAAAAAAAAAGTTTACACCTAGAAAATTGCTTAATACTTTCAAAATTATTTATGAACAGTAAATTATTATACATCTTATGAAAGAGTATTTTATCCCAAATCGTTTGGTATCATGTTTGTGTGGTATGTGTTCACGCTTGGATAAACAGGAGGCATTGTTTGCGAGAGTGCAAAAATCGACTTGCGCCAAAGTTCCTAATGTGATGTTTAGATAAAACAATTGGGATTTGGGTATTAAATCGTTTTTGCAGATCCAAATACCCTAACAAAATTAATCATGCCACACATATTAATATCGAATATCAACGAACATTTGTGCGCGTGTGTGTGTGCGTGTGCGTGTGTTACTTTGCTTCTGCAAAAAGCATATGCAATGCACTTCATTTGATACCTTCAATTCATTCTCTCACTCCGCCAATCCCAACATATAGGTCTAGACCTAGGTCTAACTTGTTAGGCATCACTGTCTTTGGCGCAAGTCGATTTTTGCACTCTCGCAAACAATACAATGCCTCCTGTTCATCCAAGCGTGAACTCATACCCCACAAATAAGATACCAAATGATTTGGGATAAAACACTCTTTCATAAGATGTATAATAATTTACTGTTCATAGATGAGTTTTAAAATAGATCTAATTAGCAATTAATTTGACTCACACGGTGTACACACACACACATAGGCACAGCACAGACAGGGAGACATGACATGACATGGCCATGGCATGGGCCCGATGACCGACAACTGCAACTGGACAATTACAAAGCTAGAGCTAAGCCAAAAAGAAACTTACTTGCGAACGTAGAAAAAGAACCATAGCGACACAACAATGACAACCATGTAAATGTTAGTTGCTTCATTCCAATGATCAATGTGTTCCTCTGGAGGAAGTCCGTGATTTTCATGCGCCATTTTATGAATTAACCTAGATCTAGATCTAGATCTAAGTTTTCTTTTCTTCGCGTTGATGTTTTGTTGTTATTGAATTAGAGTTGTTGTTCGTTTGGTAGTCAAATTTGACTAGACCCTATTGTTGCCAATTTCATCGCATCTCTTGGTAAAATTATTATTTTTTCTTTCTTTTTCCAATCTCATTTTAATATAATATTAGTCATAGTCTACAAAAAATAAAAACAAAAAATTATTTCAAATTAAATGTTGTTGTTGTTGTTGTGTTTTGAGTTATTGGCGATTAGTCAGTGATTTGACTATTGTCGCCAAGTTGTTGTTGTTGTTGTGTTTTGAGTTATTGGCGATTAGTCAGTGATTTGACTATTGTCGCCAAATTACTTTACGGCACGTGTTATATCTCTCAATTTTGGATTTTTTAAAAAATATATTTATTTCGTTTTATATTTATCTATCTTTTAAGATAGTATCGTAAAATAATATCGTAAGCAAAACATTCATGGGCTTTGTTAGTGTTTCTTAACAGTACGTGCAGATTATTTGTTATATCACATACACACCATACATAAATATGTATATAAGATAGCACCTACACAAGCTTCTATATTCAGTAATCTTATCATACCTTTTATCATTGTGAATTGTAGGGTATTCTGAAGAGACAAAATAAAAAGGAAAACAATCCATCAGTTTTTCGAGCAGGTCTAGCGCCATCTCTTATTCAAAGCATAGCAGCAAAGCAAAATTGATGGAACTTTAGTGGCAAGCATAAGTGGGCCTAAATATGCGGAAGGCCATCATTCTTTCTGATAAGTCAGTTTAAAGGTCGGGTGACATCCAAATATTAGTTGATTCCTGTTGATCAAATGTGCAGGGCTGCATACAACTCATTTTAAAATATGTTTTTAAATAACTTTCTCAGACCTGCTAAGCCCCACCCTAAATAAGGTTCCAATCTCATTCATTTTGTGACATCATCAGTCAATCATTAGTGAGCTAACTAGAGACAGTGGTATGTAACTTGCACATGCTCACAAAAGAATTGCATTATTTCATACAATACCTCCACATTACCTTTCTTTTCCTGGTGATGCTACAGCACTGACATATCAACTCCTATGTTGGTAGTGCATGGTCTATTGTAAACAGGTGGTCATAGCTTCAGGATAATATCTCAGCAATAATCTCGGCATCTCGCTAATTAAAAGTGAAAATCTAAAATCCAAAATCCCGCACAAATTATTGAATCATTTCGCTTTTTCAACCAGTGAGCACTTTCGAGAAGTGCTCCTCCCTGGAGCTGCTTAGTTTGTTTTTAGCGGATTTTGCCCACAAGTTCTTTTCCAATTTGCTTGTTACAAACTGATTCAGTTGGTTTTAAATTTTTTTAAAGCTAAAGAGGCTGGAGGACAATAGGAAGAATATAGGTCCACAGTGATGTACAAGAAAGCGTGCAACTTTTTAAAGAAATTAGAGGAAAAATAAACAGCTGAAACTGTGAAAGCTGTTACTAAATGATTATGGGAATTAAGGTATCTGAAAGTATAAATGATTCATGCAAATGGAATACGGAAAAACATCAAATGGACTTGTTAACATTGTTTAGATAAGGTAGTGACTTTAATGCTAGATGTACACAAATGTTTAAGGATAAAGTTGAGTTCTGGTCGTGCAATTAATTGCATTGTGAAAGAAACGTTGTGGAATTGATCAGAAAAGGTTGATCATCTAGCAATCAAGTTTATTGGTGCATGGTTCTGGAATCATCAAAATGATAAGCAATTTGGTCCAGTCTTAATACAGTTGCAAGCACTGTACACAGAAAATGTATATGGGACTACATGGGACTACGTGGCATAAAAATCCGTCTCGATTGTTATGATGTTACATGCCATATTTAGAACATTAAGGCATTTGAAGATCGAGCCATGCTTTTCAGGGAACATTTTTTATCTGATGTTCTTCCTGACTTGCATTATACAATGATAGGCTAACGCTCACAAATTATTTGTTCACCTCTTCCCAGAACTCAACCTTTACTGGAATGTGCTAGAATATTCCTTAGTATATAATTAATTCATAAATCTGAGATCTGATTTTTTACAAAGTTAGTCAATGTATTGTTTTATGACATGAAGTATGCGATTCATATTTTTATTTATATTTATATATTTCTAATGTTCACCTTATAATATTCATATTTGTTTTGCAATGTATCTTTGAATTTTATCAGCATGTACATAGTTGTTTTCTATTTCAGCACCCCCCCCCCCCCCTCTCTCTCTCTCTCGCTCTCTCTCTCTCTCACTCTCTCTCCTGTTTTCCCCATCTCTCTGAATCTTTTTATCTCTCTTTCATTTTTAACTCAAATTGTTTAATTGAAATATTTTATAAGATTAATAGTATATAGTATACATATACAAGCTCTTCATAGTTATGCAGATTGTCGTGTGATATCTTGAAATGTATACTTGCTTTTTCCAGCAATTTACTCATGTGCAATTCAGTTACTTTTTATTGTGATATCTCTTGAAATGTATAATTGTCTTTACAATCAATGTTTTATTCATGCGCCATTCAGTTAATTGTAACTGCGATACATGGAAATGAATCAATAAATACCATTTATCTATCTATTTATCTATCTATCTAAAAGAATGGTATAGGCCTATATACTGGAGGGAATGTAAAAGAAAACTTTCACCTATAACGCGTAACATAAATAAGGGGATATCTAGAGGAATTTTATGTAGGCTACACCGCCAAAACGGGGAGTTATATGATCGAATTGACATTTCGCAGGGACTTCAACTCTGAAAGATTCACAATTCTTTTTCAATTATTAATGTCTCATTTGTCAAAAGTTTCCTGATGGTTTTCTTCTCTGCTTCGGTTTAGGGCAATGCTTTTAGAGGAGTTACAATCTAAAGAAACCCTATTCTAATGGGAGGGCACTGTGGTATGTTGTGGAAGGCTTTAACTGATTATCATTCGAGAAGTCCTGGGTCCGCGACCATAGCTCAGTGGTCACTTCATTTGACAAGGTGTTAACTTAGCCTTCCCGACTCAGGTGTCTAAAAGTATTACCTGGCAATCTTAGGGTATAAGGATAACTACGTCTCTTTCAGGAAGATGATAGTGCAGACATTACCCATGGTATACCATTTTGTTTCATTACTATGAAACAAACTCATATGACTGCTAATTAGGTTGTTCGGTATCAAGTTCTCTCGTATACAGATTTTTTTTTTTGCAAGTACAATTTTTTAATGAGTTATTAAAAGCAATGAAATATAAGTTCTGAGTATAATTATTTCCATATACTGTACGTAACAGTTACAATATGATTTTCAAAAATAAAGTTACATGTTCAAGTATGGTAGTTAATTATTACGTATGACTTTAGTTAAAAGCATTTTCTATAAATTAATGTAACATGCAAATATGTGTCAAAACGACGATCAGAAAATTGTATTAGGATGAAAGTACGAAACAAAAGGTCACAAATTCATGATAACTTTAGCATAATGTTTTGAAAAATGATAAAACATCCAATACTTGTATATACTTTTATCTGTGAACTATATCAAAATCCAGCGATCAACGGCTGCGAAGATATATTTTAATAAACCTTGAATTGAATTGTATACGGAAAGCATACGTGTATACCTCTTTATGATATGAGGTTTTTTTTAATACAGAAACAACAGAAATATGACAATCTTAAAAGCTACGAAACACTACTCTAAGAAAAAAATACCATGACTGTTGACATTTAATTCTATAATAATTTACGCAATTTTTCTCATAATACGGTATTCACGTGTGCACTAACTATTATTGTAGTTCATTATGGCAATTTCATTGACTGATTTTAAACGTATTAGTACAGAAGACTTTAGTTCAAAGCATAATATTGTTATAAGTAAATGTTACATCCAAAAATGTATCAAATTCAACGATCACAAAATAGTCAGTTATTTCAGGGAATGGGTAACTGCATGCCTGCCTTGTATTAGATATACGAAAACGCATTTATTTCGTGCATAATTACAGCTCTATATGAAGAAGAAAAAATAAACAGCAAAAGAATTTTCATAGTAATGTTTCTACACATATCTACAACGACAAAAAGCGTAGATTCGTCGAGTGACGATCTGAAAGTTCTTATCAATACAATAATGTTGAACGTTCTGAGTTGCGACTTCGCGAGCCCTTTTAGTTCTTTCTTTCTATTTTTCTTTTGCCATGTGCAGTAAAATCTGCCCTAGCGACATCCTGTACAGTTAGACTACCTGTTTGTAAAACCTACATTTAACTTTATATAAGACTTCATTCATCATGCATTTCCTATGCAATACTAATCATTGAAAAAACGTCTACAAATGGAACTTGAACACAAAGACCATCTGCCTATAAAGAGCACTTTTCGTATCCCCCTTGGGTGGTCTTTAAACTCAGGTTTTACGGTAGCCCTAAATTATCTATTTTCTATTTGTATATTTTGTTGGATTAGGCTCAAAGAAAGTGATACGAGTTATATCTATATTTTAACTCCTCTTATTATTCATTGCCCTCGAAGATGCACCGGAGTTCGTGTTCCTCTACAAACCGATCTTCCTCAAGCCGCTCCCGGATTTCGAATGTTCGGTTCCGCATGCGATCTTCCACTCCTGGGCCCCCGTCTACAGGCCTGATTATGAGAACGGCCTGCTTGATAGAACTGAGAAAGAGAGGAGGAGGTTGAAAGATAGTGAGAGAATGACGACATCGGAATGTTTTTTTGTTGTATAATGAAGGCTAGTATGAAACTTGAAAAGGATGATCTCTGCTGGTCGCCAGATATGCTAATCCGTGTTCACTACCCCCCCCCCCCCCCATAATCAACAACTGATGATAATTGAGGAACGGGGGAATAGTTATTTTATTCTACATATCCCTGTGCTCCATGTATCCTTCACTGATATAAGTTCCCTGGTCATGGGCGCAGCCAGGGGGCACATGTGGGCCATATGACACCCTCTGTTAATCCATTAGAGAGGATAAAAAAAATTCTTTTAAGGAACTAAGTGGTCAAGACCTTAGCAATTCCCCGACCCCCCCCCCTCTTCCCTACGTCAGTGTGTGTCACTCAGTGCATTTGTGAATTTATGTGTCAACTATTACCCCCCCCCCCCCACAACAAAAATGCCAGGTTAACAAACCTCGGTCAGTCCCTTGCCGCGAAAGGGTGAAAAGCTTTTTTCTATGAAGATAATTGGTTTCGCTATTATAGACCGACGTCCCACTAGGCCAACTTTTTTCTATCTTCATTTTAAGTTAGTTCCTTGTTTTGATCGTCTCGGGAGCTGACGGTCTACTGGGATTACCCCCAGATAATTATGTGTCAACAGTTATAGGTTGGCGGGGGGGGGGGGGGGGAGTTGTCCAGGGTTGAAAGTCGGGGGGGGGGGGGGTAGTCGTCTTGAAAGGCAAAGCCAATAGTAAGTTTGTTAAACTCAAGGAAGCCTCTTGCCATTCGAATCCTAAATACCAGGATTGAGAGTCAAGTAATTGACCACGTTATACCGCGACATGTCTTGCCAAAAGACATTAGTGGAAGGTTGGGATTCGAATCATGAACACTAGAGTTAACTAATAATTATGTTAACGACACCCCCACAGACCCCCCCCCCCCCCCCCAATGAAGGCTTACTTTGGCTTACTTCGAATCATTGGGTCATCGCATCGGGTCGGGTGGTCGCGTTACCCAACCTTTGGTGAAAACATTCCCCTTCATTCATGAAATGTCGGGGTACTGTTAAGGAAATAAACCTATCTCATCAAATGGTCTGGTCCATGTAACGCGACCTCCCGACCGGACGCAATGACCCGGTGATTCAAAGTAAGCCCTTACTTTGGATCATCTTCTGGTACCAGTTCTTTTATCTGAGAAAGCAGAGACTCCATTTTTCGGATGCAAACTTCAGGATCCCAACGGTTCTACAAAAAATAAATCAAGGAAGTTAGTGGTGTCAACTTTTTTGAAATGTTGGTCAGCACACAAATCTTGGTCGGCACACGTACACTCCTCAAATTTTGTTCTCTAAAAAAAAGATACAAATTAGTATAAGTAGAACAGATTGCACATAATTATTGGTGATCAATTATCATTTACTGGACAAATTATAAACATTCAGACTTTGCCTACAACTCATTCCTCAAGTACGATGTTGGGTAGGCGTACTGATGAGAGAGTAGTACTTTTTGTACACTTCACGAATTGTATTCCAAAACATAGTGTTGGATTTTAATATGTTATGATACTTTGAAATCAAAGAAACCTAAATCTTGCTGAATATAACAAATACTGAAAAGCTATGCAATCATATATGATTATGAACAAATGGGACAATTACACAAACACATGACTCGAATCTCTTAGCTATAGAAACAAAATATATCTAGCTCTATAAAATAAAGTTATTCCCTCAATGTTACCCTTGTTACCTTAACCAGTATTCATTGTTACAATAATAGGATTGCTATGATGATACCTACCCAGTTTAGGACGTCTTGCCCCCCCCCCCCCCACTCCACTCGTGCTCAACTAGTCATTTCAGAAAATTCGCCTCTCTCGATCGAGTACAAGCCGACAGTCAATTAAAAAAATATATAAATAATATCAATAAAATCACCTCAGTATATCCAGACGTCGCCAGATCGGAGGTTTTTATGGGTTCTATTTTCTTGATGGTATTTTTTTTGTCGTTTCGCAACCCACAGCAGATTTCTGGAATGCCCGCAATCACATTTGATGCCCACCATGCTAAGGCCTTCATACTGCCGTAAGGAAATATAACAATCAATAAAGAGAGAAAGTTGGAGGGTTAAATAAGATAAATTTTAATTTTTACCACAGCAATCCGAGAACATTTTAGTTTTTAAAAAAATTGTTTTCAAATTTTCTTTGCGCGACCGATCTGGAAATCTCTTGATTTTTACCCTTAAGACCCAAAAAGCGAATACCTTCTTGGAGGTCCTGTGGAGAAGCCCTCGGACGCTCCTCAAGAGAGCCATCTTGAATGATAGAAATATTTAATCAATCCTTGAAATTTGCACCGCCCCTATTGGTTTATTTCGTTGGAAATCAATTCTCTCGCCCACACACACTCTCTCCAAAGGACGAATTTATAGAACGAAGAGTTGTCTTGGGAACCACGCCTCTCTTTAAGGATAAGGTCCAGGGGCCCATCTCAGGACCCCTGTACAAACACTGCAACTGGTGACGGCAGTTGTACATAATTATTGTCAAATTATCCAGAGACAATTCAAACTTATTGGCCCGAATTCACAAATCAAGGTTGAGCTCAGACCAAGGTTTGAGCTCAAACCTCCTTTTGTTTCGCCAAACCTCCTTTTGTTATTAAAAGGAGGTTTGGCTAAACAAAAGGAGGTTTGAGCTCAAACCTTGGTCTGAGCTCAAACCTTGCTTTGTGAATTCGGGCCATTGTGTTTCATAATAAGAACCCGCTCAACTTTATGTACACTCTAAATCCATGGGGTAAAATATCGCCGAGGTAAACACAAGAGTGCTCAATATTGAGCAATAATGTACTTTTTACAACGTACAAGTCTCCTATATTGAGCAAACTCTGACTATTTACTCTTTTTTTTTCCTTTTTAAGTTTTGCTCATTCTTGTTGAGTAAAGTTTGCTCCAATTTTTGTCTATTTTTAGTTTTGCTCATTCTTGATGAGTAAAGTTTGCTCCAGTGGCATTAAATTTTACTTAACTCTGAGTAAATTGCACTCCCAGATTTACACTGCCTCCACGAAAAGCCCTGCACAGCACGCGGCCGCATAGGATAAAAAACATGTGTGCATAATACATGCATAGTACGGTATATACTAAAGGCCCTGCCCCTGGCCCTACAAAGATACACAGCGGTGAAATGGCGGACGACAAAGTTGCTTCGTTGTTGAGGAAATGGGAGCTGACCGACCAAATCGTCAATTTTAGAAGTAAGTATGCATTACCAGTAGACCAGAGTATATATTTCTTTCTAATTCTTCAACATGATTTTTTTTTTTGGTACTGTCTGATCGGGCACTGGGTATTGCAGCTCGAACGCACAGCCGTTGTACTGGGTGGCGCAGCCCCGGGCTGAGCCGGCCGTGGTCGCGTGCGGTCCTGTCTCCTAGCTGGTACCTGATTTTGGTCTGTGCATGCTGTGTCTAAGTTAAAACTAGGTCTACAGCAGTACAGCTTTTTCTTTGATCTTGAATCAACATTGTATAGCATTTATATATTTACTCCATCTGATCTAGATTCTAGGCTACTGACTAGACTCTAACTTAGAGTCTAGGCCTACATGTATGTATGATAATTAAAAGACTGCCGAATTCGGAAGACTTCCGAATTCTGAGTTTGCCCGAAATGATATGAGATAGGGAGAATTGTTTATACCAAACAAAATATAACAAAGATAAATCCTCTTTATTTATTTTTTTTCCTACAGGTGTTTTTTGTTTTTGTTTTTTATTTGACTCAAATCATGAAGAACAAAGCTAGATCCTACAATGTATAGAGCCGAGGGGTCTACATCTAACTTAGATATAGACCCTAGATAGAAATAACTGAAGTAAAAATGCGATTGTCATGTATTCTGTATGGATTGAATCACACCTAGTTAATCATCGTTGTATTGATAATTGATAATTTTTTACAAAAAGTGGAATTTACCATATCTTTTTCTTTCCATTTAGATTGTGGCATTGACTCATCAGCATTCAAGCTGCTTGATGCAAGTCTTGTGAAGGACGTGATCCCGCAGTTGGGTCCAAGACTTAAATTCATTGACCGTTTTGATAACTGGAAGAGAAAGGTTAGTAAGCAGCCATAAGATATTCCTGGAAAGAAAATGTTTTCGTGTTGCAAATGTGTGAAATCATTTGAAAAAAGTGGGGATCTATGGAACCATTTAAAGATCCATAACATCAATACGAAGACCAGAACAAAACTTGTGTGTCATGTGCAAGAATGTTTTAAAACATTTTATCATGGTTATAGCTACAAGCGGCACTTACAATATCATGATTCCATTGCACAAAATGTCAGTGATGAAGATTCTCATGGAAATGCTGTTTCTGATGATGAAAGTGTATCAGATCAGTCAGAAGTGCTGCCAAATGAAAAACCCAACGAGGAAATATCAGCAAATATCAAACATTCTGTTTCTGAATATGTAGCAAAACTTAAAAGCTCTTCCCTGCCATCATCTACTGTGCAAGGCATCATTTGTGACACACGGGAGCTGCTCAGGAATGTAAATGAAGCAGTTCTACAAGTGTCAGCCCCCGTCATTGAGGACATAGCTCATGATATCAAACCGTCAGATGATAAAATTGACAGTCTACAGTCAGTCCTCCACATGGTGAAAGATCCATTTGATTATTTCAGTTTATCTACTGTCCACAAGCAAAACCAATATGCCCACGAATGTAAAGTTCTTATTGAGCCAGAAGAAATTGTTTTGGGCAAAGCATACAGAGAATGTTTGAATGTGCGTACTGGAAGGACTGAGCAAAAACAAGTTGATGAAACTTTTCAGTATGTGCCAATAGGAGACAGTCTAAAAGTGTTGTTGGAACAACCAGGCTATATGTCGGTCATCAGTCAAGAAAAAGACAGTGCTGGTGAGAAAGAAGTTCTTCAGACTTATAGAGATGGATCATATTATAGGACTTTTGAAGGGAAACAAAACTGTTTGGATATTGAATTGTTACTCTATAATGATGACTTCGAGACAGCAAATCCCCTCGGTTCAAAGAAAGGGAAACACAAACTTCTTGGAGTCTATTTAACTGTTGCTTCTTTGCCCAAGAAATATCAAGCTAAGCTTGAAAATGTACTTTTGGTCGCTTTAGCAAAATCTTCTCTTGTGTCCAAATATGGTGTTAATGCTGTTCTGCAGCGTATTTCTGATGATCTTGAAGTTCTCTTTACCGAAGGTCTTCATATAGATAGTCCAGATGGATTCAACGGCACCATTCGTCTCAGACTTCTCCAGGCAGTCGGTGATAACTTGGCTCTCAATACCATACTTGGCTTTGCTGGAAGTTTTAGTGCAAACTACTATTGCAGGTTCTGCAAGGCACTTAAGGCAATATGCAGAAAACAGGTAGTTGTTGATGAAAGGTTACTTCGTACTAAAGAAAACGTTGATTATGATATCAGTTTAAAAGATGTATCCCAAACAGGACTCCGGAGATCATGTGCTCTCAATTCACTGAGCTATTACCACGTATCACAAAACTATGCTCCTGACCTGATGCACGATTTCCTAGAAGGGTTACTTCCATTTGAGATGAAACTTGTCCTGTCTGAGCTCATACAACAGGGCAGATTTAGCCTTGATGAACTAAACAGTCGTATTCGGTCATTCAGCTACGGCGTAACAGAACACGCAAACAAGCCCAGCCTCATCCTTCAAAGTCACCTTAACAACCCATTTGGAGCAAGTGGTCAAAAGGCATCACAGATGAGCTGTCTTGTTGAATTCATACCTCTGATTGTGGGAGATAAAGTTGAAGAAGGGTGTGAATACTGGAGGTTGTTCACAATTCTTCTGGAAATCTTCCAGCTGGTCATAGCACCAAACATTAGCATTGCTGTTACCTACTACTTGCAGTCAAGGATTAGTGAGCATCATCAGTTGTATTTGCAACTATTTCCTGATAACCATCTCCTCCCCAAGCATCACAATCTTCTCCACTATCCCCGAGCAATGAGAGAGCTAGGTCCTTTGTCACAGTATGCTTGTATGAGGCAAGAAGGAAAGCACAAGCCTTTGAAAAGGTGGGCAAAAACTTGCAATAACTACAAGAACATTGCCAAAACAATTGCACGTAAACACCAGGAAGATCAAGCATTCAGAATGCTCAAGAAAGAAAACATCAACAGCGAATGTGTATGCATCCACAGTTCAGAATTTGTTAAAGTGTGTGATCTTGATAGTGAGGCAGAAGTATGTCAGCTGTTGAGCTGTGAACCTGATGCTGTACTAGAATTGTGTGATAAAGTAACATTTTATGGATACACATACAGACCTAATATAATGTTGCTAACTGACTGGTGTGGTGAACTACCATCTTTCTCAAGAATTGATTGTCTTATGAGAAAGCAGGATAGACTATATTTGATGATCCAACCATGGAAGACAAATTACTTTCATGGTCACTTTCAAGCCTATGTTGCATCAGAAGATGAGTTGGCTACACTGCAGTTGGTTGATCCTGAAAACCTGTTTGAACACAGACCTGTTCATGCAGTGAAGAGTCATGGTATTGCAGATCATCGGTGGTACATTCCTACCCGATACATGCTGTCATAACTGCATCAAAGTTAACTCAGAGCCAAAAGTGACTTACAGGTACAATACACTGTAGTTTCAATTCCTCAATACCCGTTCAAACTTATGTACTTTCTTTCAACGAATAAATGTGTATGTACATTTTTTTTTCTTAATAATGGCCTTTACATAGAACTGAATATTTAGAAGGAGCAAAGTAAACCCCTCAAAGACATTTTTGTAATTTAACTTTGATCATCCATATCTCTGTTTACTGTAGCACTTCTATGCATCATTATACATTCATATAATAGGAATGTCAGTTCATTTCCATTTCAAACAATACACCATCAGTAATGAATCTCAAATAATGGAAGGTATAAAACACCTTAAATGTAAACACTATTAGTTCAAAAGTGTTTAATTATCTTTAGGATACAATGTTGGCACTCATGCAGAACCACTTCAATATGACAAGATCAATTACACTCTATCTATCCTAAAACAAATTAAGAAATTTGCCATCGACAGTGAACACTAATTTTTACTTTTGACATGGTACCGTAATTCAGTTGTCTTACACATTCCATAATGTTTAATTTTATAGCTATTTGAACTAGTACAATCAGAAGCATCTTTTCAAAGGAGAATAGACATACATTACAAGTACATTTCAATAATTTTGATTTCAAGTAAAATGATGTGAAAAATCGAGATAATAATTTAAATGTTGAATTGCAGAAACCTTTTGACAGACTGTGTATTTTCATCCTTTCAGGATAAAGCAAACGATTCTGCAGAATCTGTACTGACAGGCATGCAGATGGGCTGGGAGTCACCCGAGCTGTCTGATGATTTCATGATATCAGATGTGGAATCAGTTCCTTTCGACCTTTCTCAGGCTTCAACTATTGCAGTAGATGAAGATTCATGCTCATCAGTAGTCAATGATTTGAACAGCAGCAGTGACACGCCACCACTCAAGCGCCAGAAAGCAGTAAGATACGTAAGTTCACATTTAAAAAAAAATTGTAATTCATTCAGTCTAAATAATTAGGCCATATTATATTATTTACGTGTATTTATATCATGGCTATTCTAAATGTTCTCTAGGTTTTCATGGTGAGTGAGTATTCACAATTGAAAGCTTTCGTTAAACAATCACAATTCCGCTAGCGCCGGACCCATTTGTGCGGTTCCCACTGCATAAAAAGCCAGTTGCACTGAATGATTCTTTGAGTTATACTCCTGACGACGAATAGAGCATACTGTTCGAAACATGTCGAGTCGATATCTCCTTTTATTGAAATAATACTATAGTTACAAATACTATAGTTAACCCTTTCAAGAAACCAACCGTTCTTTACAGAAATAAACTCAACAAGGAATACCAACAGTTCTTTTCAGAACTAAACTCTTCGAATTTGTGAACTGGTCACAAATTTTCTGATCTTGATCTTTTTCTATTTTTCCTCTTTCCATTTCATTTCATTTTTCAGTGTTTTCAACACCAAAACAAAAAGCTAAAAACGTATCAAATTGAAAGCTAAAAAACAAGTCTTGTGTTTGTGTTTCTAAATTCAAATTCCATTGCATTCACTTCCTTTCCTTTATTCCTCTAATTGCCCTATAAGTGGGTCCCTTGAAGAAAGATACATGTATATCAACGGCCTTTTCCCTAAGGCTTACCACATGGCGTTAACGAAAGCTTTCAATCAGATCTATTCTTTTTTATGTGGAAATAAAAGTCCACCACTCTGTGTGTCCCTGAGCAAAGTATTTAAGAGCCACGCTGTCTATGATGTTAAGTTCAGAACAATAATAAAAACATTGAAATTGTAAGTCCCTTTAGAATTCAGAGATTTAATTAAATTGACTCCCAGTTGCTATTTTTATCACCAAGGTCTGTTGAAAACAAAGAACACTCTATCTGCTGGGTAGCACATTTTTTGCATGTTATTTTGAGCTGTGATTATCCCATTTATTACTATGCATGCAAAATCGATCAAAAATACATGCACTGTATCTGTAAGAATCCCTTTTTAGCAAATGCTTTTGGAAGATGTTGAAATGTGCCAGAAAAGATTTAATACCACCTGTACTATTATGATAAAAAATAAAAAAAAAACACACACAACATTTTCTTAACTCGTGCAATTCTGATTTTTTTATAGGATGTGGGTGAAATTCTAAAGAAAACCATGGAAGGAAGAAAAACGTTGGAGGAAGTAACTCGAATGAAAGTCTGCGCACCACACAACACTCGTGTCGTCTGTAATTTGTGTACAGAGCACCTTGTAAACTTGCATGGCCTAAGGTAATGAATGTTACATGTATTTGCAATGGCTCATATGCTATTGCCTTGTTTCTGTCTGCATTGTGCATTCTTCTTCTTTCTTTTGCAAGAAATCACATTCACTTTACAGCAAGACTTTGACCTTCCTGACTAGGTCCCTTTCTCATGTCCAGTTGATTTGAAAATCCTCCTTTCCCTCATCAGGCATCTCATTTTTCAAAGTATGGTATAACAGGGCTCTGAAGGATATTTGCCAAGCTTAAAATATACCTGCTACTAGTAACCTTGAGTCAAGTGAGACAACAAATAACAAGGCTAACACCGCATATTGTATGGTCTATGGAGGATGGAAGTTTATTCTGGAACTCCCTTCCAAATCATTCAATCTGTAGATGAAAACAGAGAGAATAAAAACACATTGTTTAGTGCAATACTCAGAGATTTACATCTTCTTGTCTGCTAATAAACATATATCGCTTCATGGAATAATCAGTTGTCATGAGTGACTTATTTATACGTCAATAGTAGCAAAATTATGTTTTCTTTAAGAATTCAGAAAATCACAAGCTTCACTTGGTTTTAAGAAATTCAATTAACTAGTTGACTAGAAATTTAACGTCCTGTGGAAATACCGAAATCTCCTTAAAACACATGCAATGTATAATCTTTCAAATGTATGATTTTCATTCAAACTACCTAATTTGCTCTTTACTGTATTTAAACCAAACTAAATCCTGAATAAATAAACCATGCTTAACAAAGCACTAAATAACCTTGAAACCTCTTGGATGGTTTATATATAACAATATTTCCACTATTCACATATGGTCTTTGCTTTTTCTTAATCATTAAATGACATGCTTTATTACTGCTGCATTGTTTCTTTTTGTGGCTCAAAAGAACATCCAAATTAATTTATCCAGAGCTCATTCCAGATAAATCTGACCGAAATGAAATATGACCTTTGCCTATCGACCTACATCTTGACTGACCAAAATATCTTGAATACAAGCTCAGGCAAAATGCAGCTTAACAGCATTCATTTATAAAACCTGTTTAAACATTCAGCCCTTTTCTCAGGCATTCTTTTGTTCCGTCTGTTCTGTATCCCTTTTAAATACATGAAACCTACTAAGAACACAAAATGGCTTTCAAAATACATCTTGTACATTGTACCAAATTTGACATAGCTTAATCCTACAAATCAAACCTTTGTTTTGTACCAGAATTTCAGTACTTTTGTAGGCTTAATCTTATCAAGCAAACTAGACAATTTTACTCTTTGTTTATGAAATTGACACTCTTCACTTGCTAATACATGTAGCGTAGCGAACACATTAACGATAACTCTGTGTAAATAACAATTTTGACATCAAACTTCAATCTCAAAACATCGTATCTAGAATTTATCAAATTCCTTTCTCTTTCATATCATTATTAAATTTAGATATTTAACTTTCATATTACTTACTCTTTGGGCGATATTAGCCTCGACAAATCAGGAAATAAAGGTAAATTTGCCGTCTGCAAATTCGTCAAACTTCTTCATCGTCAAAGTATTGTGGCTGCAAAGTAACCTGGGAAATTTACGGTGTCTTTGAGAACGAAAATATGGTGTTCGTGAAATTCAATAAGAAAAAGAACTGTTTCACCGAAACATTGGGGCATGCACATTAGGTTAGCTCAAACCACATCCTTTGATTTGGAGTAAGCTCAACTACACCACAATAATTTCATTCTAGACACTGTTCCACATGTGTATTTTCTAACATAAGTACATGTACATTAAACTGTAATGTTAATTTCTCTTACTAAACAGACCTGGCCCTGACATGAAAGGGGCAATGGCCTCCTCAATCATCGCAGAGTTCCCCTTCCTGAAAGATCCAGCTGGAAATGGAGATGTGAGTAGACAGTTTGTGGAGACTGACTTTGTGTCAGTATTTCAATTAAAACTCATCTGTGGCACATATCAGTAAAGTCCTTTTAGTCCAAAGAAAAATTTCTTGTTACTCATTAGAATATTGTGATAGGAAGCACATTATTAAATTTTCCCTTGTGCTTCATGATGGAAGTTTCAGTTTCAAATTTTCTGTCTGTGAGTTACTTTCATCTAGCTCTTTATTAATGTGATAATGGCCTGATTAATATTTTATATTTTCTCATGAACTTTGAAGATAGTAATTTATTTGAAGTTATGGCTATATAGTTTACTCCTTGAATTGTTACATTATTCATGCTAATGCACAGGATTTTTTTTTTAAAGGAGGAATGGTACTTCAAAAGCTCCAAATGTCCTGCAGGTGGTAGGATAGAGAATAGACTCAAGTATTTAAGAAGAATAACAGCGGAGAAAGACAAGAAGCAAGTCGGGGTTGGCAGTCCTGAGGATATAGCTTCAACATCTTCCAGTGAGGATCTAGCATCTCCTCAGATGAATTATGGTATGCACTTACAGATGTTACCAATAATTTCCAAAGCATATAACAGTCTAATGCAACCTGTTGAATTTTTACTGGTCCAGTTCAACTGGAACAGTATTATTTTGTTCCAATTTCCAGAGTTACCAGTTGAATTTTTACTGGTGTAACTGGTCCAGTTGATTCCGGTTCTCCTTTTGGATAGTCAAGCAGGCTTAAAAAATACTTGCCCAGTAGCAAAAAATTTGTTCCCGGGGTTCAAGCTAAGTAGTAAATAACCATTGTTATATGTAGATTGTGTTAATTTTCATAGTTTGGCCGCCATGGGCATGTTTATAGCAAAACTTAGAGAAAGGGATCCGACTTTCTTTGCATTTTTCGAGTTGAATGTAATTTTGTATTTCCTTTTTGTCCCATTGAAGTACTAATTTCTTTGGTTGGGGTCTGGCAAATGCATGTTATAGCAAAATCAGCTCTTCTTGAAGGGAGTAAATGCTGGTAATGTGACACTCTTTTCAATTACAGGTAATTTGGCTATGTTGAATCTTTTGGGACCATAGAAATCTGTTTTGCTTGGGAGAAATTTAACCTAGAAGAGTATACATTAACACATGTTTGCATAATCTGGTCTTAAAGATTGCTTTGACTTGGGCGAATATTTGACGTATGAAAGGTCGACTAATCAGGTTTAACTGTATTAAAAAATAAGTCAAATACTACCTGGTAAAACCTTGTTTACTTTGATACTAATTAGCAGCCAAATTAAATTTTAATGCTGCCTGATAAAACATACAGCTTAAAGTTAGAAAAATACTAGGATGAACAGGAGGTTCATCCATTTTAACTCGGGCTTGATTTGATAATGATTGATATCTTAAGAGTTCCATTATTATTGATCAGATCTTGCAGACATGAAAGTCATCACTGAATGGTTGAAAAGTCATAACACCCCCCAAAAAGATGTTGTGGCCAAAATGCAGCTGACATCAGCATATAGAAAGGACTTTGTACATTCAACACTGCCGGGAAGTTCCAGGAAAAAGCCTTGTGTGGCTGAAGTGCTGGATGAGTTTCCACATCTCCTTTCCCCTGGAATGGTAAGTAAATGTTTCATTACCTTTGTTAACTGTCATTACGGTTTAATAAGCAGGTCCCTTATCTAACGAAATCAAGATGAAGGATATTAATACAGTCGGTTATAGATCTATGTATGTGATATACGCATGTACACATAAAAATAACTGCTTTTTCTGTTATATCTACATGGAGCATTCAACAAAAACAAAAAAAATACCTGCACACATTCTGAAAATGACATTGTATGAAGAACTCCTCAAGAATCGTCCAGTGAAGTGGTTAGAAAAGTAGGTTAGGGTCTTTTTTTTTTTATTTCACCCACTTTATTAATTGTCCAGACATGTTATCTATATTTTCTTTTTTATCTTTTTTTTGTTGATTTCATTCCCAGAGGAATTCCATGATTCAAAATGTTACATTTAAGCAAATTTGACTGGGATAAATTTTGATACAGTTTATTCAATATCTATTTAATTTGAAGTCCTAATCTTGTAAATATGCATTCACCCACCCAAGTATTTGCTGGATCACATTGCAGACTGTGCACGACTTGTTTTACTTGTACTATTCTTATGATTTTCATGTCAAATTTATGCAGGCCAATACATGGCCAAAAGAAGAAAAAAAATACACCCGTAAAAAAAAGACAATGAGATATGCATGCTATAGATTTTATCTTTCTGATTCATAGATTGAGCAAGACTACGAAATGCTGTTTTCGGGGAGAGGAAAGCACCTCTATACAAAGTGGCCGGTGGTGTCTGCGTGCATCCTAGAATATGCAAACCGAGTAAGCCCAGGGTGGAAGGCCAGATTTAACGTTCAGCATAGAAAAGACACAGACTTCAGTCAAGGTATGATATTGTTTACAGATATAGTAAGCAAATTGGCAAATAATTGTACTGCTCGCTTCACCATCACCCAAAGTTTTTCTGTAGTTCTTATTGTGTTATGAAGAAAATCTATGATTGAGTAGTTTGTACCAAAATAAACAAGTTTTCAGATTAAATCTTATTTACATTATGTTTGAAGAAGGAACAAATAACAAACCCATATATACATCGGAAGGGGGGAGGGGTTAATTTTGACTGTGCAGTTGTGATTCCATCTATTTTTTTTTTTTTTTTCATTTATAGATTTCAGCATTAAAAGTCGTCACAAATATTTTTTTTTAAGTCGATGGATACAATGAAGGCCGAGTCAAATAGTGCATGAAAATATGATAAACATGTATCATCAGTCTAAAGAAATTTTCTTTAATATTATTGATACAGATGAGAGGATGAACCTGGCATTTTGCCTTCTCTCGCATTTGTTCCCTGGAAAGAAGTCAACAAAGGGAGGAAGAGCTTCCATCCAAGAAGCCTTGGATAATTTCATTGACTTTCAAAAGGTAATTATAGCAATGAGAAGATTCATGGCCATTCCAAAAAAGAACTGTTTTTTTTTTTTGGTAGATTGGGAAGGGGAAGTGGTTAGAGGGTAAGAAGGTGAAAGTGAGAAGCATTACATGAAATAGCCCTTCTCTCAAATTTTGTGGGATGATACATTCTATGGCAAATATTTCACAATGGGCTGTGGATATATGTGGCACCTTAGCTGGAGATATTTCTACTTATTTTTGCAACTTTCCAAGACACAATATCACTATTGTTTCTTTCCATACCCAGGAATAACTAAGTTGGTCGATAACAATGTCACTGTATATTTAAAGATTAGATTTAATGGTCAGTCAAATAAGTAATAATACCCCCTGGATAATTTCTGATGCACCTAACATTACATTTCAACTGTACTTCAGCATATGAGAGTGTGTTACAAGCAATTATTATGCACATTTCATGGTGGCAATTTTTTTTCTTTTCTTTCATGTCAGGAAGGGACCAATGTAGAGGCATACAAATCTTCGCATGGGAGGAACCAACCTTTCATCCTAGCCCTAGGAGGACACTTCTGCAATCCAGCTCAGACTTTTGTTGTATTGGAGCACCACGTTCTTGAGCAGAAGAGTCTCGTTGCAGCTGTAGATTTGTGCTACAAGATCTTTCAGATCTTTGATCTACAGTATCCATGCCAGGCAAGAGCAATGTGGGTCGTGATGGACACCATTGCTTTTGATGTCAAACCAGGAGCTCAAGAGTCTGGTGCAGTGAGAGCCTTCAGGGCATATTACCATTTCAACCAGAAATAAAGCCTTGGAATGTGTTGTTCTATCAACAGGCCTTTTGAAATTGAAATGATCACTTAGAAAATTGTCATTAAAAAGAAAACAGATTTATGAACCCCAAACTATTATAATATTTTGAAAGAGTAACTCCTCCCACATCTTCGGTACCATTTTTGTGTGGTATGTGTTTACGCTTGGATGAACATAGCACATTGATCAAAAGATGTAAAAAGTGTCAAAGTAGGGGTGTAGTTGAAATAACCCCCCAAAAAACAACCCCACACATATCAAACTGGTGTAACTTTTTAACGGAACAGTATTGAGCAATTAACTTAAAAGAAGTGTTCTTACACCTAACAACTACATTCTGTGTAAAAAAATGAGATAGATCCGTGGAGCCATTCACGAGTGAGCACACGTCAAAGAAAACAATGATCACTTTTCAAGAGTATCAATAGTCCTTTTTATGTCTATAAGTGACCATTTTCTCTTTGATGTGTGCTCACTCATAGAATAACTTGATAGATCAATCTAATCTTTACACAGAATTTAGTCGATAGGTGTAACAGCACTCTTGCTAAGTTACTTTGCTCAAAACCTTTTCGTTAAAATGTTATGCCACTTTGATCAGGATGGAGTTGCTTTTTTGTTGTTTTGATTTTTTGGCACAAGTCGAATTATACATGTTCGCAAACAATGCACCATGTTCAACCAAGCGTAAACACATTCCACATTAAATGGTGACGAAGATGCGGGAAAAGTTACTCTTCCAAAATATGTATAATTTGGGGTTCATAAATTGGTTTTCTTTATAATGAAAATTTTCTAAGTGTTTAGTTTTTTTTTATTCACTTGGTAATGCAGCACAGTTTTTAGATTTACAATTCCTGTTGTTATCTTAGGATTTTAATAACATCATATTCATGTTCTTTGGAAAAACCAATCATACAGAAAGATGCTTGCAATGTGCTCTCCATTGTTCTCTCAAATAATCAACAACTCTTCGAATTTGTAACATTTTGAATTAGCATTGGTTTTTATATGAGGGCAACTCTTGTGTTGCATATTGTCCTGGGCATGTTTCATTGTTGTAGTTATATGCAGCCAAAACGTTAACAGCATATATTGAGATTTTTATTGTGAACCAAATTTATGGCTTATGTACGTACATGCCATTTTCTGTATTTGTTAATTATATATATGCCAATACAACAAAATACAAACAAAAATGTGGCCAGGACTACTTCACACAAATGGGGCAAACATCATGGTTTTTGCGAAACCCATAAACTGGCACTGGTATGAAGCCATTCTACTAATTCTGAGTGGATATTGGGTGTGAGTGCATTAGTGAAAATGCCAAAATAATAGTGACCACGGTTTCTATCAGCTACATTTTTAGTGTTTTTCTTCTTGTAAAAACAATGAGAAATTACATGGAACAGATGCTTCAGCCTTCTTCAATTTTGACACAAAATTGCACACTCTTTCATGCTGTGAAAATTTGTTAGAATCAGCTTGAATATGAAATTTTTGAAAAATGGAAGATTAAAAAAAATTGTATTTTTTCTTTCCTAAGCGTATTAAGTGTTAAAGAACAAGAGCCATTTTTTCTTGTTTGCTCTGCAGATTATTGAAGTTCTTTTGAAGTCAAATTTTAGAGGGTAGACTATAATCATCTGATCATTATCTCTAAATGCTAAATACAAAAGTGTCTTATTTTTCTAATTATGCAACTACCTTTTACTTCTTGTTTCTACAATAATAAATGTTGGGCTTCTTTTTTTCTCTCTTCTTTTTTTTTTAGGCTGAATTTCCTTAGATTTCTTAATGTTCTGTGTTTTGATATGCATTTTAATATTTGCTTTCTTGTGTTGCATATTGTCCTGGGCATGTTTCATTGTTATAGTTGTATGCAGCCAAAATGTTAAAAGCATATATTGAGATTTTTATTGTGAACCAAATTTATGGCTTATGTACATGCCATTTTCTGTATTTGTTAATTATATATATGCCAATACAACAAAATTCACATTCCCATGTGGCCAGGACTACTTCACACAAATGGGGCAAACATCATGGTTTTTGCGAAACCCATAAACTGGCACTGGTATGAAGCCATTCTACTAATTCTGAGTGGATATTGGGTGTGAGTGCATTAGTGAAAAAGCCAGAATAATAGTGACCACGGTTTCTATCAGCTACATTTTTAGTGTTTTTCTTTTTGTAAAAACAATGAGAAATTACATGGAACAGATGCTTCAGCCTTCTTCAATTTTGACACAAAATTGCATACTCTTTCATGCTGCGAAAATTTGTTAGAATCAGCTTGAATATGAAAATTTTTGAAAAATGGAAGATTAAAAAAAATTGTATTTTTTCTTTCCTAAGCGTATTAAGTGTTAAAGAACAAGAGCCATTTTTTCTTGTTTGCTCTGCAGATTATTGAAGTTCTTTTGAAGTCAAATTTTAGAGGGTAGACTGTAATCATCTGATCATTATCTCTAATTGCTAAATACAAAAGTGTCTTATTTTTCTAATTATGCAACTACCTTTTACTTCTTGTTTCTACAATAATAAATGTTGGGCTTCTTTTTTTCTCCCTTCTTTTTTTTTTAGGCTGAATTTCCTTAGATTTTTTAATGTTCTGTGTTTTGATATGCATTTTAATATTTGCTTTCTTGTTATAAGATGAAGAAATTAAAAGATCTTTTTGTAAACTACACACCGGCATTAAGGTACCGCCTGCTTTGTAACGTTATATGGAGTCTTTTTCAGATATGTTTTTTTTTTTAATTTGGACAATTATATATTCCACTTTTCTGTGAGTTTCATGCAAACTGAGGCTCTATTTATATGCATAATTTCATAACATAACATCATTCCGTCTTGGCCTTGGAGTTCATTTTCAGCAGAGTTTATAGATATGTCCTGTAAAAAGGAACATTGGGGTCCATGATGACATTACCAAATAAAAATTGATTTACATAATGAATTGCTAATTTATGACTAAAATGACGTTTACACATGACACATATGAAAAAGGACACATGGTCAAATTTGATGTAAAACATCAATTAAACCACAAGGAGCATTGTGAAAGGAGTTTTCTGGCCTTATTTTAGTAAAAAGAAAATTACCTGAAATTTGAGTAAAACACACTTTACTATTCACTGAGTAAAACAAAGCTCAATAATGGGTAAAATATTACCCATCTAGTTGATTAAAAACCTTTACTCAATTCTGACCATGTGCCCATACGACTTCATTTTGAGTAAAATTTTACTCAATATTTCTTAGAGTGTAAAGGTTTCTTTAAATAGATTGGTTTACTACTGATATTCAAATCCATGTACCTTCTTTCCTGGGGATCCCAAGACGAGCTATTTCATTATCATGCTATTAATAAATGAACTACAATACCTGGAATTCAGGCTGCATACATTATATGTTGCTTAGTCAGGCACGCCTCGGACAAGCTGTCAGGTTGTCAAGAATAAGTGTATTTAAAAATTATGCATACGATTTCAATAAGTTAGATAACCTGATACATTACGAAAATGGACTATTATCTTACGGTTGTATATCTTGATGTGTTTCCCTCGAGCGGACATTCATACAGTTAGTTGGGTCTGGCAATGCTGGAGGTGGCTCATCAGGGGCGATTCTCTTTTCTGCCTGTATATCACCAGACAAAAGCAGGCGGTGATTCCCGCAGTTGACCGTCATCAAAGTATAGAAGTATTCATTCCCCTTTGCGGGGGCAGGCTCGCCTGGGGTATGGTCGTCTGGGGGAGGCTCGTCTTGGTTTAGCCCATCCTCTAATATAGGACAAGAACACAAACATTTTAATTTTCATCGTTGTTTCTGCATACTGACATCAGTACAACACATTTATTAGTCGAATGGTGGATATCAGCGGCGGGTCCAGGGTTTTTCAGAAGAGGAGGGGTTGGCCTACGAAGTCAACTTGTAAGATAATCGCGCTGCAAAACGCTAGCCCTACCAGATGGGGTCAAGGGCCCAGCCTAAGGGCTCCTAGCGGTTATTTATTTATTTTGTGTTATTTATTCGGCGATTCACAAAAAATATAACAATGTAAATATGAGTAAACAAAAATTTAAAGAATGTCACTTATGAATGCACAATCTTCCTGGAGGTCCTCTGAGTGCATCAGTTGGCTGCCGGGGAAGAGGAAAGCAAACTTAATCACTGTAACCGTAATGGTCCCTCTTCCCGACCAACTGGTGCACCCAATAGACCTGCAAAATATAGCATGAAGGTAAATAAATGTATAACATTTCATAAACAAACTAGCTAACAAAAACAAAACACAAGGAGAAAATCAAATTAATATGTATGATGACACGATACTGAACATAAACATGAGGAATTAATTCTGGCTTTAAAAACTATTACATAAAATGTCAAGTATGTAAACTGAAACCATGAAGTATAAAACTAAGAAAAGAACAAAATATGAGAACGTGTAGTACTGCACTGACAATAATGTCTAAAATCAAATAGGTTGACCGGTTTAATTATAGAAGTTAAGAAAACATGGTAAAGTAAGTGAATAGATAGGCTAAGTGGGCTTCAGGCAAGTAAGGAAGCTAGGAGAAAATTAAAGAACCAGTACTTCATAGTTGATTTTACATTATACAAAATTTGTATAAAGAAGCTGCGTTGGAAATATCCAGAAGATGTTTAAATAATGGAAAATAACAATGATAAAATCAAAATTGTAGTTTCGGCTCAAGAATGTCATAGAGAAATAGACGAATGAATGTTTACAAAACATACCGTAATTATTACATTAACCTCTCGTAAATTAAATTAAACAACGACTTCAAAAGAAAAAGTTAATCAAAGAAGATATGACTTTTCAGCCTTTGTTGCCAGGTCTGGCGGGGATCCAGGAGTGGAGCCCACAGTCGCTTACAGGCATCATTAATGGATTAAGCGCTTTATGGATATTATTATAAATTGAAGTATTACATACTATTATCAAACAAATGGTCAAAAGAGAGAATTAATGATGTAATGAGTCACAGTCTTAAATGCATATGTTTGTACATGTAAATAAAAGAAAAATATACTTACTGCTCGTCACAAACTGAAGAAGGATCTTGGAGGATGCTGCTATTTTCTGAATGTCTTGAGCTTGAGGGTCTGCTCTACCCAGACCCTTCGAACGGAGGTGGTAGGTACCTTTGTAGAGAGTGACGGCAAGGTCAATTTCCAAGAACTTTTTTCCTCCCATTTGCAAAATGCTGGAAAGCACCCCTCGATGTGAAACAAAATCCACATTCAACCTGACCCCGAAAACAAAAGACGGTTGTTAATTATAATATCATTCCCTTGTGGGAATAAGATGTATTTTGAGGCTTAAGAAAGAAGACAGCTTGGTGGGTTGTTATTTTTCGGAAGGTCCGTCTTCCGGAGGTATATAATTCCGAGGTTTCGTAACTTAGAATCACAAATTTCCTATTCCAGAAGGTTCAGAATCCCGAAAACTAAATAGAGATTATTATTCCGAACGTGTGTTGCGTTATTCCAAAGATTCATCATCAGAAAGTGAAAAAGGGAATTGTGCCGGGCCGGTACTAGCCTATCCGAGATGCGTCGGGCTCTACAAGTATACTAATCGCGTTTATTTGGAGAGTGACATCGGCGCGGGCGTCAGCTGACGCCCGCGCCGATGTCAGTCTCCATAACGCGATCAGTATATTTGCCATAAAGCCCGACGCATATCGGATAGGCTAGGCCGGTACCCGTTATTTTCTTACTAACCCTTAAATTATTGAAACGTGCATTACAAAGATTATAAATCTAACCTTGATTGTTCTATATCCCAAATTTGATTGTCTATCAGATCCTGCCGATGATCTTCCATCCACCTGTATCTTCCTCCGACAAGGTTAGACTCCCCCTTCCTGTCCGTGAAATTATTAAATTCCTCTCCATAACTTAATTTGAAGCCGTCACCGGGAGCCAAATAAAAACGTCTGTTTCTATTATCATTGATATAGTTCTCCTCTTGGTTTGTCGAATAGGTGCCGATCACCTTATGTCCGTATATTATACGTACGTCATCCTGTCGAGAAGAAAAAAAATAACATTGAGCATTATCAATTCAGGACCTGTGATATAGCAAAAGGAGGAGTTGGGTTGTTGGGAGCATCAGAAAGAAAGTTCGATGCCATTCCAGTGAAAAAGAGAGGGGAAGGTCTTTCCATTATTTTCTACCCCCTTTCCGGACGCGTCTTTTTTTAACCGATGTAAGATACTAATCTCTGTTTTGTAAGGACATTTTTTGTTTCAGTTGACGATCAAAGTATGACGTCAGAAGTGAAGGTTTTTGGTTGAATTTTTAGTCTGCCGAGTGGGGGCGTAGTAATTTAGCTGCTAATGATTCTCAATTTTGGGAAAAGTCATCTTTCTGATTGCGATCAATATTTAGTATTTCCAGACAAGCCCAATGTTGTTGAATCGCCTTTTGTGAACAGTATCGCATCATGCTTGAAATTGTCGCTATTTATTGAAGTGCAGTCAGTCCGATTGGCAAGTTATACGCTACATTAAGTTCAACAACAGTGCTTTAAGTCAACATGAGCGATATGTCCCATCAAGAGTCCGTCAAGCCCGGGGATTCAGCAAGCCAGACTGGCAAGAGCAGCACGAGCAGTACCTCCAGAGCTAGAGTCAAAGCAATGGTGAAGAGAACAGCCTTGGCAGCCCAGGCAGCAGCTCTCAATGAACAACAAGCTCTTGAACTGGAGGAGTTCAAGCTGAAGCATAGAAGGTGTAAGCTTGAGCTACAGACAAGACTCAGCATGGCAAGAGCTGAGGAAGAGGTTTTCTCCCAGCATGGAGAGAGCATAACTGCTGCTGTAGAGAAAGATGTCTCCCAACAAAGAGGGGCCTTGGAAAAGGGAAATTGTAGTCCTTTTTAGGTGTTGTAACAAGGAAATCTAGACATGAACAACCTTTTTCTTTTTTGTGTGCAAAGAAAGCTGTTTGGTTGCTTAGGTGTTCATCAAAATTAATGTAAATTAGATTGTTTGTTAATTGGTGTATAAAAACATTCAGTATAGATATGTTTCAAGTTTTTTGGATTCCTTTGGAATTTTGGATAAAGTGTATACCTGTAAGTCCAGGTTGAGAATGAGAAGAGATTAGAGAAGTAATCTTCAGTATAGTTTTCACATTTAGGGGCCAGAATGTAGGATACTAATCTCTGTTTTGTAAGGACATTTTTTGTTTCAGTTGACGATCAAAGTATGACGTCAGAAGTGAAGGTTTTTGGTTGAATTTTTAGTCTGCCGAGTGGGGGCGTAGTAATTTAGCTGCTAATGATTCTCAATTTTGGGAAAAGTCATCTTTCTGATTGCGATCAATATTTAGTATTTCCAGACAAGCCCAATGTTGTTGAATCGCCTTTTGTGAACAGTATCGCATCATGCTTGAAATTGTCGCTATTTATTGAAGTGCAGTCAGTCCGATTGGCAAGTTATACGCTACAACCTAACCTTGCCAACCTATCGCTGCATTTGATTGGCTCAATGGGAACCATACGTCATGCGCTAGTCATTAATATTCATGGTACGCACGCACACATAGGATCCGATGCGGTAATTCATCAAATAATGAGATTTCAAACAAAAATTACAAGTGCCAAGCTATTTTTACTTAAAATGAATGAGATTGCGAGAAAATCGGGTGGCTTACCGTAAACGAATGACTAGCCAGATCATTAATTGTCCATAATCATTTCGACATAATCTGGCTGATATAATTTTGATCTCCACCACACCGTACCAACGCAAATATTCATATATTTAAATATTAATATGCAGGGAAGTGGTCAATTTGAAGACACCAAGTTCACAAAAAATTTGTAGTGAGATAAGCATGTCTTTATGACAATGGTTACCAGTGACACCGATGACCTATAATCCTTTCTTGCACGCGGAGTGTAATTTCGATTGAGTTATTACCTTTGCGCCAATCAAAATCCAAGCTACGTGCAGGCGCGTACACATGGGGGGGGGGGGGGGGGGGGGGGGGGGTCGAACACCTCCCCCCCCCCCCCTTGGACTTTTTTATGTGTGTGTTTTGGAGAAACCCCCCCCCCCCCTTTCGTTTTTTTTTAAATAAAATAATAATAATAAGAAAAAAAAAAAAATTGTGGTAATGGATGACCCCAGAAAAAACTCACCCCCACCCCCCTGACTACGTGTACAATGATGTCACTCTCTTGTGGTGCGTCAAATACATTACCAATGGCGTCAGACATAAGATGACGCCTTGTGTGCAATATATTTAACGCTTATGCAACCTGCATATGTTCTGAATATTACGACAATAAGTTCTAAAATATTTTATTCCAGCAGAGCAAGCGAAGGCTTACAAAACATTTTTTTTAAACTGAATGTGAGAAAAAGAACTGTGTCTCAACTTCTTAACGGAGAATTCAACAGTTTGTCACTGCAGGATCGTGTAACATAACAATCGAATTATAGCTTAGAACTATCGTAAATCATTATTTATTCCTAAAATTATGATTTTTCCATCACTCCTCTTTTTTCCTTTTCTTTCCTCTTTCCACTTCACCTCATTTTTTGGTGTACACAACACCGAAACAAAAAACAATGTTTGATAAAAACTTCATTCCATTATCGTCTCTCCCGCCCCCCCCCCCCCCCTCACTACCCCACTAGAGGGTCGGAATGACCGCATGCGTGTTGCCAAAATGTCCGGTAAAGGGGTACTTTTCGTGCGAGAAAGTCCGGCCCGAGAATTGTAAAAAAGGGGTGTATTTGACTTTTAACCCGGAGATTTCTTTAAAAAGGGGGTGTTTTTCTTTTTTTTCTCTCATCTCTTTGGACTCCTGAGATATTATTCCGAATTTAGGGGGGTACATTGAGCATTTTTCCGTATTTAGGGGGGTCTCCAAGGCAGGAAAAGCCCGCGTAAAGCCCGCGAATGGGGGGTTCGGAAAGGTTGGCAGTCCTCAGATAGGGGGTGCTTTCAAAAAGAGGGAACGAGCATACGCGTACCCTAAATAACACTGAGTGGGGGGGGGGGCGGGTCGTCTCTTCATTCCTTTTGCTTTTCCTTACACTTCTTTCTCAGTTCCTCTATTAAAGCGCTGGCCCCACGAGCAGGTTTTTGACGAAAGAACATGTCAACAGCCTTTTCAGTAAGATTACTACATGGTGTTACCGAAAGCCTCAGTTTCATAATAGTATTTTTCTGTTGCAAGTTCAGGTCTTGGAATAGAACCGTACTACAGTATCCCAAAATATATATGAAATATAAATGATAATAATAATTATGATACTGCAGCTATTACTACTACTACCAAGAAGAAGACAGAAGAAGAGGAAGAAGAAGAAAGGGAAAAGAAAGAATCACTTCAGCGATATTAGTGATTATTTTCTCTATTATCAAGGCATACACGTGCACAGGGAAGTAAGAGAGGTAAAACGTTCAGAATATAGGGATTCACGTCTAGCTTGTTCTAGATGCGGGGTCTTTCGTAACACTCGAGGTAGTTTAATATTTTCCAATTTTTCTAGATGTATTCCTTATTTATTTATTTTTATAGCCAAACTCTTTTCCTGATCCCTATATTCAAATATCATTATAAACAATCTAGTGTAGGAATTATGCCTTCTGACCTTCACCGAAATATATTGTACTTCTTCTGCATTATAAGAATCATGTATTGCATGAATATTTTCCCACTTTGTGTTTTATAGTTCTTCTAGCCCAATATTGTTAATTAATTTATTTATTTTTCTACATATTTTTCCCTCCACAGGGATTTTATTGATTTTCATTTGAAACACATACAAAAATATATATTCAAGGTAATTTACATAATAACATAAATAAAATAAAATTGGCTTTTCAAGATACAAGTATTGTTGAGCTGTTGAGTTAACAGAAAACTAACGAATCAATAATTCATTTCTAACACTCATGGAAAAAAAAACAAATACAGAAAAAATATCATTTTAAGTAAACAAATTCCTGAATTGAAACCATTTTCTTGTGAATTTATTATTTCTACAATTCGAATTTGCAATATACTTTTCGTTTTTGAAGTAATTTATAATCGAAACTCTAATATTATCAAAGTCGGGCAATTGTTTCTTTATTTTGCAAGTATACACCATCTGTCGCACCACAATCAGTATACAATTCAATGCATAATTATTTGAACCTTTTAAACCAAATAATTTATCTTGTAATGAAAATGTTAATTTATTTACGGTTCCAGTATTAATCCAGTGTTCTAACCTACCCCAAATATTTTTAACAGGCGTACAATCACATAGCAGATGTATAACTGTTTCAATCTGTTCATTACAAAATGTACATTCTTTTCTTGGGACTAAATTCATTTTAAACAGTAGATCGTTCGTATATAATATGCGTTGCAAGACTTTAAACTGAAACCATCGTAAGCCCACATCAATGGTACAATTAAATCCAATAGAACAATATGTTTCCCAACTCTTATCATTCAGGTCGAAAATGCATTTCCATTTAAGAAAACTTTTACATAGTCCTTTTCTTCTCTTTAATAAAATTGTATAGATATGTGAACATCCTTTAATACGTTTCATAACAAATGCCATTGTATCTGGGAAAAGAGGTTGTGGTGGCACCTTGTTAAAAATAGTACAATTGTTAAACACTTGTCTAATTGCATCGCATAATCCACGATAAAAAAGAAAATTTATTTGAATATTATACTTTTCTTGAAAGTGTTCCAGAGAGAAAAAATCACCATTTGTGTCTAAAATATCGTTAACAAAACGAACTCCCTTTTGACACAATTTTGTATTATATATTGAGCTATTGCCTATTTAAATGTAATCATTATTCCATAAGGGTTGGCAAGAAATGTTACCATAATGCATGGACAAGAGCGTACTATAAGCCATGAACATTTCTTTCCAAAAAAGGTCCTTTGTTTTACTTACCAGTTCCCGAAAATAATTGTTGCCCATACATAATTTTAAATCTTGCCGTTCAGGCAAGAAAGATTGCAAAAGACAGAGGATATTGCTATCTATTGAGCCAATTACTAATCTCTTAATCCAGGAAATTCTTAATGATTGACAATGTGTGTATATATCTATCATTATAACCCCTCCGTCTGAGTAACTTTGTGACATTTGATTTCTACTTATTTTATCAGGTTTCTCCCCCCATATAAATCTATAAAAGTGAGCATTTATATCTTTCAAAAGATTTTCACCAGGATTAGGGAGGGACAAAAAAAGGTAGTTTAATTTGGATACCAACAATGACTTGACAACAGTGATTCTTCCAAGAACAGTTAAGTATCGTCTTAACCACGATGTCATTTGACTTTTTATTTCTACAAATTTTTCATTATAATTGTGAATTATCAATTTGGGCAAATCCGTACAAAAGTCTATACCTAAATATCTGAAATAATCATCAAACACCCAATTTAGATTTCTTTTCAAAAGAACACCATCTTTCTTGTTTTTAAATCCTCCAATCCAAATCGCATGTGTCTTCTGTATATTAACTTTTAAACCAGACATTGCATTATATTTATCTAAAATGTTTAATGCACTGTTTAATTCCATTACTGACCCGTTCAATGTTAGAAGAGTATCATCTGCATATTGAATTATTTTAAATTGTCTACCAGGTAAGCTCAAACCAACAATGGAATCGGAATTTCTAAACAAGAGACCTAGTATTTCGGCGCATAATAGAAAGATAAGAGCTGACATGGGATCTCCTTGACGACAACCTCGCTCTATTGAAAATCTTGGAGACAGGTGTCCATTGATTAATACACAGGATTGAGCATTTTCATTGAATACATTAACCCATTTTACAATAGAGGAACCAAACTTAAAAAAGTGCAATACTTTTCTAATAAAATCATGAGAAATAGAATCAAATGCTTTTTCAAAATCTATAAGCAGCAACAAACCAGGAATGTCATTGATATCAGTATACAATAATAAATCATATAACAAACGGATATTTTCTCCCATGAAGCGCCCTGACACAAAGCCTTTCTGGTTTTCATGTATAAGAAAAGGAAGTACGTTCTTTAATCTGTTTGCTATACAAGAGGAACCTAATTTATACACCACGTTCAATAAAGATATGGGTCTCCAATTTTTCAAATAATGTCTTTCTTTTTTTCCTTTGGGAATTAAAGTGATGAATTCTTACTTCTGTGTATAGGACATTCCGGATGAATATGCAGAGTTTAAATATCTCACTAAAAATATGTGTAATTCTTTCCAAAAATGTTTGAAAAATTCGACGGTGTATCCATCTATTTATAAGTGCTTGATGAACTTCATCGATGGAGAGTTCTCCTTAGAGCTTCTGTGACATTGAAGCGGTTAATTTACTTATATCTGGATCATTTAATGTTGTATTTAAGTCTACATCAACAACAGGATTATTTGTATACAATTTAGAGTAGAATGATACAACTTCTGATATAATATCATCATGCGATGCTATCTCCTTGTTTTCAGTAGTGACCAATTGCATATACGTTTATTCACAGCATTTCTGTTTTCTAAATTCAAAAAATATTTTGATGGTTTCTCGCCATATTCCATCCATTTAATTTTAGACCTCATCTTTATTCCTTCCATTTTTTCTTTTCTTAGTGATTCAAACTGAACTTTCTTTTCATTTAATATGACTAAAGCTCTATTTTTGTCCGTTTTTTTTTATATCAATGCCTTCTCCAAAGCTATAATTTCTTTCTCTAAATCATATTCTAAATTTACGAATCTTTTTTTCTTTCTGGCTGAGTATAAAATTGTTTCACCTCTAATTATGGTCAACAACGTATCAAAAAATAACTGATCATTTACAGTAAATTCATATTGTGTATCTTGTCCTTCTACCTCAAAATCTATTTGCATTGTTATTATATGGGACGGAATAGGTCTCAATCGTTTGTTGAATGACATCTATCATCCCTTAACAACGAATTATTGAATTTCCAGTAACCTCGACCTACCAAACGATGATTTAAATTCAAAGATAGCTTGACCAGGGAATGATCGGATCTGTACCCAGGTAAAATTTCTATTTTATTAACGAGTGACAGTAGTTCAGTGGAGACCAACAAATAATCCAATCTAGCCGCCTTAAAGGGAGTAGGTTGCCGCCATGTAAACATTTTTTCCAGGACATGTAATTCTCTCCATGGGTCTATCAAATCTAAATCATTCTTCATTTGATCGACTTTTTTCTTGGCATTAGGATTATTAAGGCGAATATAATTATATGTATCTTTATCAAAATCTTGAACCAAATTCCAATCTCCGCATAAAATTGTTAATGGATTATCAAAATCTAAAGCAAGTCTTTCAATATCTGCATAAAAACTAACACTATCGTGATTAGGACCATACAAGGATATTAATGTTATGTCATAGCTATATATCTGTAGGTCTAACGCAACAAAATTCCCTTCTTTTGAAAGCTCAATCTTATTTACATTAAATTGCACCCCTTCCCCAAACAAAAATAGCAACACCTCTGGCATTTGACGCTTTATGGCTGAAAAAAACAATTATCTCCCCAAAATCGTTTTATAGAAGCTTCTTCCTCAGCTACAAAATGTGTATCTTGCAAGCAACATATTTGGAACTTTTTTAACTTAACAAATTCTAAAACATCATTTCTTTTTTCGCGATTTCCCAAACCTCGACAGTTCAAAGAAATTATATTGAAACTAGCCATTGAATATTAACTTTACCTCGGTACTATGAAAATCAAATCCTGTGGAGTTTTTCTTTTGTAACATCAAACAAATAACACTGACAGCACTAAGCACTAGTCCACCGAAACAGCTTACACTGCAACACCTATGACAATTACAGCGATGTCTAGCACAAACGAAACTACAAAACAAAAACAAATACGTCTCTGATAGCGAGACAAGACGCAATACCAAGAAAGCCACAGGTGACCACATATTTGCTGTGGATCCCCGAAACCCCACCAATCCAAATAAGAGGGAAAATGTATCAAACGTTTCTCCCTTGAAAAGAAGGCACACCGGCTTAAATCACACACAATCCTGCTTAATGTATGATAGCTTTTCACTATGAACATGACAGACAAAGAAAGCGGACAAAATATACAGTTCCTCAGGTAGACAAAGGAACATCCCTTCACTGCTATTGTGTAAAAAGGTGAATATGCAAGTGACACCTGTTCTACACATGTTTACATAATAGCAGTGAAGGGATGTTCCTTTGTCTACCTAAGGAACTGTATATTTTGTCCGCTTTCTTTGTCAGTCATGTTCACAGTGTTTGTCATGTCCGGGAAATGTATACACTTAATTATTTTACATATTTACAAATGTGCGACCTCCTATGATTCACACGGGTAACCTAAACACAAACTCCCCTTTCACAGAAGAGGTCAAATATAATAAAAAGATCGATAGCTTGACCGTAGTACTTTTGCGGAAACGACTAGCCCTTGATCATAGTCTTAATTCGTATCATACATGTATATACATTGCTATATGATATTCCTTTAACCTGGCTTTGGATAACAAGATATAAAAACAAAGATAAATAAAATATTAACCTCCATATTCGGATTTATAATGATTATCAACGTATTTAAAATTATACAGTGGAACTGCTTCTGAGAATTAAAGAACAAGAAAACTGTATGATCTCTTGCCTTTCATAAGTCTCACATCAAAATTCTGATATCTTCAAAAAAAGAATTAATCTGTGTAGAACACGTTGCTTTCATATGATTAAAACTATTGATTAAATAACGTCTTCTCTTTGAAAGAGACAGCAATTTTTTATTTTAATAAGAACCAATTTCTCTTCGTACCTTTTTCCGGAGGTACAAGAGAACAAAACATTCAGCTTCGTTCAAGAAGATTTGTCATTTTTCTTATATGCATCCATAATAACAAGGAAAAAGATCATTAAAAATGCTCTTATATCTATTCTTATTACATGTAAATCTTTAGCAGATTATGTAATAGACATACACTAGTACTCAACATCAGTTTTTAGGCATCCAGCCAATAGCAACACCAATAAGTACTAAACACATAAGTTGTATATTATATATATAACACGAGCAAACGATTGTTAATTAATCCCTACCACATGGCTTTGACAAATCTGCAATCCCAAAATAAATGTGAGTATGATTCTGACGTTTGTTTACAAAAAGAGCATTAGTCATCATCAACAAAACAACGTTTTGTTTCTCGATTTCGTCTCCTTGTTATCTCGTTTTCTGTCTCTGTCAGTTCTCAACCCAATCCCTTCCCACTCTCTCTCCTCTCAAAATGTCCAATGCCCAGTGCATTTTTGCCCACTGTTATATTTTTTGTGTTTGCATGCAACTCAGACAAAGATAATCTTTGCAACTCTCTCCTTAAATTAGTCCGATAAAGAACAAAATTGTCTTAAGTAATAATCATGGACTTGTTTTTATTTGAAAAGTCGTTTGAAAGTAAAATCTGTTCAACTTACGTGAGCCATGGCCATGTCAATCGTCGTTTTATCCAATTGATTTGCGGGAAATAACTATGGCGTTGACCAAAACACTGACATACCCCTGTAGGATATTGAGACGAAAATGATTGTGAACAACCAGTCGCGTTAAATATTATGAGCTGAGTGAGGGTATATTTAGCGCGACTGGTTTTCCCCAATATTTGTTGTTTTCCCTGACGTTTTGCATTCCTTTCACAGAAGAGGAAGTATAGAAAGAAAAGTAAAAGAATCGAAACAACAATGGGGGGAAAACCACAATTTGCACTGCGCTCTGTTGCGAATCTCTGCATAGTGAAAAGAAATATATCAAGCGGTGGCCCTAAAGTGGAATAAGTCGTCATTGAAATATTTTAGTTCAGTTCAGATCAGTACTGTTTATTCTATAATCTACATTTCACGCGTATATTTGTTTAGGAAAAATATTTTGCTTTCATCCATTTACAAGATGTCTATTGCTTTAGAAACTAGTATTGGTATTTCCATTATAATATAAGGCCATCACTCATCTTACTACCTATGCTAAATTGAAATAAGATTTTTTTAACAAAGTGAAATACAGCTATACATGAAATTGACATAGCTATGTTTGTTTATTGAATTTCAAAAATGCAAATTCCTTCTACTTGAGGATAATGATTCCAACTTTAATGGCTTTGATAAGTGAAAAGAAAGTTTGAAATATAATTTCTCTTTCGGAAAACAATTTACCAATGCAACTTTTTAAGCAATGTTTTAATAGACGGATGTGCATTAACAACAGAACTTAAAGTCCCATGACGCCATGGGGTGCAGACGATACAAAATTTTTGGGAACTTGAAAGGGCAGTTTTTAAACTGTGCTATGTAGTCTACACCCTCCCTTTTCCCTTTCTCTCTCTCTCTCTCTCTCTCTCTCTCTCTTTTGTTATTATCCGTCTGTTGGGCACGGAGTGTGCGTGCAACATTTTTTCCAAAGTTTGGCCAGGTGAGCGTTTTTAAGATTTTCAAATGTATGCTTGGGTGTGTGCGTCTTTCTCTCCTTCTCTCTCTCTCTCTCTCTCCCTCTCTCACTCTCTCTCTCTCTCCCTCTCTCTCTCTCTCTCTGTCTCTTCATCATATTCATCTTCATCGATTTACACGGCAAGTCCCTTGCAGAACGGGGTGCAGACCATGATAGATTATTGGGAATTTGAAAGGGCGGCTTTCAAAAATTGCTATGTCGTCTACATCCTCGTCTCCCCCCCCCCCTGTCTCCCCTCTCTCTCTCTCTCTCTCTCTCTCTCGTCCTTATTCGTCTATTGGACAGGGGTTGTAGCCTGGTAGGGGCGCTTTACTTGTGTGTGCAATGCTCCAAAGAGTGTACGTTAAAATGTGCCTGTGTGTGCGTGGGCTTCTCTCTCTCTCTCTCTTTAAGTTCGGTGATTCATTATTGCTAGGGAAATGAGGTAATCTATTACTATAGGAGTGTCCTTTGAATCGTAAGCAACTTAAGTGATATATTTGTAAGAGTAAAAGTGAGTGGGTTTGGAAAGAATTCGAAAATGAGAAAAATGTGTGTTGAACAAGAGGATAGAAAGAAAATGAGATTGAATTGAATTGATAATGGTTTTTTTGAAAATAAAAAATAACAATGCATCGCAGCCTGAAATGGCCAAATTGGGCAAAATTTCAAGAACGTAAAATACAATATATAATATATTTAACTTTAAAATCATTATTATTTGATCTCCCTAAATCATTTTATATATAAAGGAGATAAAGCAAATTTAAGAAGAACTTGATGATGGTGTAGAGTCAAGATAGAAAATAAAAGAGGATGGTAAGGTGGTAATATTAAGAAGAAAATGAATACGAAGAAGAAGAGGAAGAGAGGAAGAAGAGGTAAAATTAGAAGAGGAGGAGAGATAGTAGAAGAAGAAGAGTCAAGTTGGGTTAGGAAGAGGAGATGGAAAGTAAAAACTAGCGAAATCCTCATTCAGGGTGTATATCCTGGCTTCAGAAGAAATCCTTGTTTAGGGGGTATCTAGAAAGCCTGGGTCACGCATGCTTACAGTATTTGTACATGACTGAGGGCGTGTTTATGCTTCACTTTTTCTGGCCGAATCAGGCATCTGTTACGCGTTTAATTTAAAACACGGTTGCGTCCATGCTCACTTTTGAAGAAACACCGAAAAACGGCGATCACGATCGCCGATCGTAAACTCACAAAAATATGCGTTTACAATTTGTAAACGCGTTTAAATGGGGTCAACGCACTGACCTCTAGTGGGTCTACGTAGCATGCACAGTGAAGGTTTGCGAATCCAGCTGGAAGACCAATTAAGGTCACACAGGGAGAATTGCCTGGAGGAGCCAGAGAAGTGAGCATAAACAGTACACCGTGGAACTGCGATTGCGATGAGCGTTTACGATGAGCGTTACAAATCGCTCATTCTGCCTTCAAAATTTAAACTTAAACGCACCCTGAGAAGTCTGACAAAATCAGTTCAACTTCTTTTCATTGAATTTCTTTGGACTATACGTGTTCTACGTGGTCAAAACATCACCTCCCTGTAGGTGTGCCCGCCTACCTCTACATATTACATGTGCCCGAGGAGAGGGGAGGGCAATATCTAAATAAACCATAAAGTTAGTATCGATATATTGACTGCTATGAGAGGCATGGCTGTTTCTAGAAGCAGCTTTGCCTCGAATATTAAAGCGGTCCATAATATACATGTATTTTTTATATACCGAATTTACATTAAATCTACAAAGAATTCTTGCCTTATCCTTTTCTTGAGTACAGATTGGATAAAACATCACAGAAAATCTGTCAGTAATCTTCGCTGGAAAGTTGCCTGAATGTTACGATCAGGAGGGAATCGCACACACACTGTATGGTATCCGCGCTCGCTCAAAGAAACTTTTTACACGTAAATCAATGGGGATCTCAGCAAAACTTAACTATGCGGCCCGTTATCCGGGGTAACGTGCAAAGTTCGTTTCTTCGCGGGCATGGCTAAAATCACGACTCCAATTGTTTGTTTTCCTTTGTTCCAACCCCGCCCTCCCCCCCCCCCCCTTCGCATAACTAACATGTCACAGGAAAGCCTATTGAAATAACTTTAAGCTTTGATATAGGCCTATGATTTTTTTTCCTCACCATTCTAATATCACTTGGGTCCATGACTGGTCGCCTTGGGGAAGACCCGGGTTGGATCGAGGCGAGGAGGAGTGTCATATTGGATCTACCCGATGGATGAACTGAAACGATTGATGAGCCTTCCATTTTTTCTGAATTCGGTATTATATAGGCCTGCAGTAAGCTATACTGGCGTAGGTACAGGGTGAACCGGGTGGGATACGCGTCTCTGCTCATACATTGACTCTCCTGGTTATTGTTAAAGTGACCTAAACAGGTGGCGCAATAATTTTTATGTGCAGCGCTTTAAGAAAAAAGCACTTTATCAATATACCCTTTGAATTAGATTGGATCGGGGGGCGGAGAAAGATAGTGAGAGAGAGAAAAAGTAGACCAAAGGAAGACAACGTGGTAATACTCTTCCTACACCCTTCCCTAACCAACTTGCCTTGCACCCTTTGGTACTTCACCCCCCCCCCCCCCCACCCCCTCCTACAGTGCCCTCTTACCACAATGACTGGAAATGCACTCGTAATTCGTGGTATGAAGCACATTCATATGACGGTGTTTGTTTTTTTGCAGGAACAATTTTTTAATGATTCATTAAAAGCAATGATATATAAGTTTTTAGTATAATTATTTCCGTATACCTAACAGTTACGATATGATTTCCAAAAATGAAGTTACATGAAGAAGTATGATAATTGATTATTACGGAAGGCTTAAGATAAAGGCATATTTCTATAAATAAATGTAACATGCAAAAATGTGTCAAAACGACGATAAGAAAATTGTATTTAATGAAATGCAAGTTCAAAAGAAAAGGTCACTAACATATCATAACTTTAGCTTAATATAAACAAAAATGCTGAACCATACGACACTTTGATACACGGATAGCATAAGTGTACATCTGCATGATATGAGGTTTTACAAAACTAAAGAAACAACAAAAATCTCAAAATCCCAAAAGCTACGAAACACTGCTCTAAGAAAAAGAAATTAAATGACTGTTTACCATTAATTCTACAATAATTTACGCAATTTTTCTCATAACACTGTATTCATCTGTACACTAACTGTTATTGTAGTTCATTAAGGCAATTTCATTGACTGATTTTAAACGTAATTTATTATTACGGAAGACTTTTATTCAAAGTATATTTCTATAAGTAAATGTTACATGCAAAAATGTGTCAAAACAACGATCAGAAAATTGTATTAGGATTACAACACGAGACAAAGGGTCAGATCTAGAAGCATGCAACGTAACATTAGCTTAATGTATCAGAACGCTAAGGTACCTGTTATGAACAGCTTGTACCAGTAGCATTGTTTAATACGTACAAATTAGTAAAGTCAAAATAAATTTGAGGGTAGATCATTATGACGCTTCATTACATCAACTTACATTACATCAAAAGAGTGATTTTGTTAAGGTTGCAAGCATAGCGAACCTTTATGATATATCTTATAAAACTTACAAAAGAAGATAACGACAAAAATGTAAAATTTCAAACATATCAAACAAGAACACTTGCGTCGTTCAAAATGTATGCTCAATCTACCCCCAACCCCGTTCCCCCATTTAGTAATATATTGTCGGAGCTGTACAGACGCGTACGCAAGGGGGGGGGGGGTTAACTCCCCCCTTTATTTTGTTGTATGTGTGTGTTTTGGAGGAACCCCCCCCTTTTGATTTTTGTTTGATTTTAAAAATAAACAAGTTATGCTAATGGATGACCTAAAATAAAATGTGCTCTTACCCCTCCCCCCCCCCTTTAAAAAATCATGCGTACGCCACTGGAGCTGTATCATCTCTTGCGGACGTGTAACGCTCGTAAGATAATTTTAAAATATTTGCAGGCCTTTTTACTGATTGTAGTCTGAAATTTAGATCGAGGACATTGTATTTTTTTACCCTTTAAGTCGCCGCTAAAGAGTTATCAAAATAATATGCGATAAACACA